AGTTCTGGGAGAATAAATCCATCCAGCTGGCAAAGTGAGAGCTGACTCCTCTGGTCATTCGCACAACACAACGCAGAGAATTAACGGCAATCAGAGTTCAAGGCCAGACCGGCTACAGGTGGATGTTGGGTGGATGGAATCATGGACTTTTACTTACCTAAGTTATTTGAGCCTTTTGAGAGGTCGATGGTGATATTTCTGATGATACCGTTAAGGGACTTGAAATCCTTGAGAAAGTACACGTGGTCATTATCAGAGGCGATGACCTTTAGCTCACTCTCTCTGGCACCCTGCACACCTGAAAGATAAGAACTTATTAAAACACCCGAACATGTTTGGGAAAGTCTATCAACTCAGTTTTGTTAAATTTTAGACCAAAAACCTGACTGACAGACCAAGCCGATAGTTTCTTATTTTTAGTGTCATTGTGCATTAAACAAACTGCTGATTATCTGATACAGTTTACTTCAAATTTCTGTGAAAATAAGGACATCGTTTTTTCTGACAGCCAGAAATGTGCAGTCGAGTGGCCTGTTGGAGGTCCTTTGTTGGGCTCTGGCAGCCGTTAGGAACTGAGTGACTAGTGTTTATTGATGATGCAACTGCTGATAGAAGCAGCAGGATTAATTGTGGAGTGTACAGGACTGTAATCTCTGCTTAATTTCAGAAGAATGCAGCTGCAGAGATTCTCAGTGCACATGGAAAGTGGCCCAAAGACAAAAGTAAGCCCTGCTATCTATGGGTTCCTGGGAAACTCTTGCATTGCTTTTGCAGTATTCTGTAGTGTGGTGTGGTCTGAACAAGACTGTTGTGGTGTACACAGTTCAAAATATTATTTAGAAATGTGTATTCAGGTTTTTATTTGTCTCACTGTTTGGACTGCATACATCAACAAATCAACAATTCAATCACCAATAGCATAGACCTCGATGTCATTGTGTTTCAGGTTCTTTGAAGGTAGGAATACTTGATCCTGGGATTCCCCGTCTGTGATCAGGACGGCAATCCTTCTGGAGTCTGGACGCATTCCCATACTGGGTTTAAACTGGATATCGAGGATGTGCTCCAGAGCTTTTCCTGTATGATGGCAGAAAGTGACATCAGCAGGTCAAGAGTTTCAAATGTCATGGACTAAAACCAATTATGGGTTTTACACACACACACACACACACACACACACACACACACACACACACACACACACACAAAGACACAAAGTAGAAAGTCAACCGTGAATCAAATGACATACTTAAACAAGAAGGCTTTAAATAAAACTAATGTTAATACTAAATAATGTTAATGTTGCTCCAACAGCCCGATAACAACTGTCGCTGCTCATGGCTGAGGCGGTTGAGTGGTCACCCTTTAGACAGCACTATGATGCACAGACGGCTCCGTATGTTTGAGGCATGAAGACTCCTCTCAGCTCTGTCACCAGTTTGTTTTCACTCAGCGTTTGGGCATATGCTAACACAGCTTACACCTTCACACAGCCACGAGGATCGATGTCCTGCTGTGCTGCTCATTGTTGGACAACAACAGTAGCTACTCTACACTATCGAGTTAGCGAGGTGAGTTGGCCAACACTAGAGGTTCACTGTAGTGATGTCCCCAGTTTTTACTAATCTTCTGTGAGAACTGATAAATTAGTTTGTCCATGTGGAGCCAAGGGTAAACAGACTATGGCAGTTTCACTCAAAGCACACGTCCACAGATGGATTATTGTTATTGTCACTGCTACATGATGCACCTGTTAGTGAATTATTGTAAAAAATAAGTTCAGATTTCTAAAATCAACT